GAACTTGGGCTTTTCATTTAAGCAATGGGGAACAGTTGAAGCAGGAGGGTGGTTTGACCTAGGTTGTTTCTCAGAAAGATACCACGTGGGCAGTTCCGGAGAAGGGGCTTGAGTGAGGAAAAACTTGTGGTAAAGTGACCAGTTAGGAAGCAGGCAAGTTGGGGTGGGATCTAGAATCAGTCTGTGGCTCAAGAAGAGGAGCTGGAGGGCTGCATTCTGAAGTGTTTCTGAGGCTCTAGACTATGTGACTTTTACACTGGGGCTGGGTTTTATAAAGCTTTACATCCCAGTGCCTCCCACAATGCCAAGCATTTAGGAGCTCAGCACGTGTTCGCTGGAATGAGAAAATAGGGGTAGAATCAATCCTATTTAGTAACTATTTAGTAACTGTTTAGTAGGGATGATGTGAAGGGGAGGGAGATGTTGGAAGACTGAGTTGATGATACTGTGGGGGCTGGGGGAGATGGGTCCAGTTTTGGACATGTTAAGTTTGAAGAATTTGAGATCATCCAGGAAGGATGTGCAGCAGAAAATTAGAAATACTAGGATGGGATCTCAGAGAGAAATTAAAGGGCTGAAAATAGCTTGAATCATCAGGGTATGCATGGTAGTTAAGCCTCGGAAAATGAGTGAACTTGTCCTGGGAAAACTAGCTGGGGAGCGCAGAAGTTCAAGGACAGACCTCTGGAGAATGCCAGCACCTAAAGGAAGTGGAGCCAGCACGGAGACCGGCACCAGGGTAGGAGGAGAACCCGGTAGGTTTTGATGTAGAAGCCAAGAAGGAGGCATTGGCTGACAGTATCAAAGGCTTGAGAGACCAGTGAGGAGTAAAAATAGACCTTTCTCAGTTTTGACAATTAGGAGGCCACTGAGGCTTCAGCAAGAGTGATTTCAACATAAAAATAAGGGTGGGAACCAGGGGTAGTGTGGGGTGGAGGAAGGAGGAAAGGCGGGTGTGGCACAGATAAAGAAGTTTCACTGTGGGAAGTAAGGAGGGAGATGCAGGGGTGGGCGGAGGAGGAGACAGAGGCAGATGGGGGTTTGGTTTTGTTTTAGGAAGAGGGAGATTTGAGTGTGTTTATAAGTCAGAGTAGAGAAGGGAGAGACGGCAGAAACGGGGCAGAGGGAGATCACTGATGGGGAACAGTCCTGGAAAGATGAGCGGGACTCAGTGTCCAGTGGAGGGATTACGAGGGAGCAAGGGTGCCAGGTGAGTCTGGAGGTGGCAGGCAGCTCTAGCTTTTCCCTATAGAACTGAGGGACAGTGACATTGGTTACGTGACTTACTCAAGGCCCCTGAACCAGTAAGAACAGAGCCTGTGCTTCTGCCCCCACTGTCTTCCATAGCCCTTCTAAGCCATATCCCTTTGATGGGCCCCAGGGCTCCGTGGGGCCTGGCGTCATGCTGTGCCCCTGGGGGTATCCAGTTCTGTTCCTCTTGGTACAGTGAGCACCTGCTGAGTCCTCGCTGTGTGTTATGCTGCATGTGCTGGGGCAGCAGGGGGCAGGGTTGCTGCTTCCATGGGGCCTATTTCTTCACCCCGTGCCCCCGCTGTGCCCTTCAGCAAGTACTGTGGCAGAGTCACCAGCCTCACTGCGGCCAGGGACACCACGGTTCTTGGCAGAGCACCTTCCTGCCCTGGGGTCAGCTTTGCCTAGTGGGTTGGGTGCACTGGTCTCCTTCGCAGCTGGTGGCAGGTAGAGGTTGGCACACCTTGGACATGAAGGGATCAGATTCCTGTTCTCCTACCCAGGTACCCAACAGTGACTTTTCTCCTGTCCTTTTGTACCCAGGATTCCAGTCAGTAATGTGGGACAGCTGCTGGGAGAAGGCTACCGATTGTCCTTAGGCAGCAGCCAGCCCAAGAAGCCAGTGCTCCTGGAATGTCTGGGGGCTGCTGAGTGATCCTCTTGGCTCGGCCCAGCAAGGGGAGGGGTTGGACTAATGAAATCTCTGCCGGGGTATCTTGGAGCAGGCCCTAAGACTAGCCAGTCTCCTTAGCACAACACCAGCACAGTTTGGGAACAAAGACATACCAGTGCAAAACTTTATTAGTCAAAGAAGGGCTGGTTGTCTTGTCACTCAGGACTGGGACCTGTCAGCACTGCTCTCCTCTGACTGGTCTCCTCCACGGAGGTCAGGCCTATAGCGTGGCTGAGTATTTGTCTTTCAGTTACTGTAGAACACGCTTTATGTGGTGTTTTCCATCTTGGCTGCATGTTAGAATCACAAAGGAGGTAGGTTTCATTTTTCTCTTACCAATTCCTGGGCCCCGCCCCTCACCAATTAAATAAGAATCTTGGAGAGTAGGGCCTAGACATCTCTATATTTTTAAACTTCACAAGTGATTGCCTTGCGCAACCAATGTTGTGACCTAGTGATAGGAAGGGAGATGAAGTGAGATGCAGTGGATCCTGATCACAGAAGGAAGATGGAGAGAGAGCAGAGGGTAGGGGAGGCTGCAGTTCAGAAAGGCATGAAATGTTAGAGCTGGAAGGATCCTCGTTTAGAGCTTTGCAATTCGCTGTGGTCTCAGCCTAGCAGCAGGGCACCACCTGGGAGCTGCTTAGAGTCCAGATCTACCCACACCCATTGAGTCAGAATGTGTACATTGGACTTTGAGAAACCATCATCCCGACCAGTGGTTCTCAACCGTGGCTGCACATTAGAATTGCCTGGGGTGCTTGAACAAATTCCTGTGCTGCACCAGACCAATTAAGTTAGCATTCCTAGGTATGGGACTCCTTTTATTTTTGTTTTTTTTAGTACCCCCAGGTGATTCTCCTGTTCAGCCAAGGTCAAGAACATCCGTCTTGACACTTGAATGTACATAGGATTCATCAGGGGATCTTTTTTTGGGAGAAGATTTGGCCCTGAGCTAACAACTGTTGACAATCTTCCACTTTTTTTTTTTTTTCCCCCAAAGCCCCAGTACATAGTTGTATATCCTAGTTGTAGTTCCTTCTAGTTCTCCTATGTGGGGCGCTGCCTCGGCAATGGCTCAATGAGCCGTGAGCAGGTCTGCACCCGGGATCTGAACTGGCAAACCCCAGGGCGCCAAAGAGGAACGCCCGAACCCAACTGCTAAGCCACTGGGCCAGCCCCAGGGGATCTTATTCAAATGCAGCTTCTGATTTTGGGGGTCTGGAGGGGGCCTGAGATTATGCATTTCTAATAAGGTCCCTAGTGATGCCCATGTTGCTGATCTGATAAATATATTTTGAGCCACAAGCATCTATTAGGCTAACTTCCCAGTTTTACAGCCAAAGAAACTGAGGATCAGAGAGGGAGAAGCAACTCGCCCAAGGTAACCCAACATGTTATTCTTTCCATACTTTCTGAGCTGAGTGCTGGTCATGTGCCTTGCAGTGTGCTAGATGCTGGGGCTGGAGCTGGGAACAAGACAGACCCAGTTCCTACCTTCACAGAGCTCATATTCCAGTGGAGGAGACAGACAGAAAGCAAGCAAATAAGTAACTAAGCTAATTACAGATCAGGAGAAGTGCTGTGAAGGAGAAAAAGAAGGCAACATGCTGGGGGATGACTTGGCAGTGGCTGTGGGAAGGTATGGAAGAAGGCATGCCACTTTCGGAACAGTGGTTGGGGCAGTTACTAGAACCATGACTTTCATGGGAGTCGTCTGATTACAAATCTAGAACTTTTCTTTACTGGACAGGGCCATCCTCCATCCCCATTGGGGTTCATGGATGAGTCTCCTGACCCTACTGAGGACGTCTGACTCTGGTCCCCACCCCTCAGCCCCACCTGGCTTTCTCCTCCCCTTCAAGACTCTCATTCTTCCATGTTTGTGGACTCAGAGTGCAGCCTGGGGAGCAGAGTATTGACTCCATAATAGGACAGTGTTCAGGATAATTGATTTATGATTTGTGACAAAAACCAGGCCTCATCCAGATGCTGTCCCCTGCCCTGGAGAAATAATTTGAGGTTTTCCATTTATCCCCAAGAGAGCACAAACACTAGTGCTTCCTTCCCTGTCCTGATCCATCATAAGAATCACCTGGGCTGCTTGTGGAAATGCCTGTCTCAGGTCCCACCCCGGCTGACTCAAGCAGTCCCGGGAAAGGCCCTGGAATCTGTGTGATTCTTATGATCCAGATCATTGGGAACACAGCATGGATGGCAGAAACTGGTGTTCCTGTGCCTCTTCATGTGGCTGTGGAAGCTGCCGAAATTTCTTCCCTGGTGACTCCAAAGCGTGGCCCTGACTGTGTGATTGTAGGGACCTCTCTGTTTAAGTGCATGTAACAGCTCACCCCCTTCCGTAGCCCCGTCCTTACCATGCTGGCCTTTGCCCTTACCCGGAAGGGTCTCCCGTCTCCTCCTCTTTGACCACCAGACCCTTCCCATTCCCTGCACTCCCCATTCAGTCACCTCAAGGTGGTGAGGGCTTGGACGTGGTTTGCATTTAGTCAGAGTCTAGAGGGCTGGAGGAGGCCTCCTGGACCATCCCATAGCCCCACCCTCACCCCAGTGTCTGGCCTGAGTGGACCTGTTTGGCTGGATTAGAAAGAGATTAATGATGGAGAGGTGGGCCGTGGCCAGAACCAAAGGAATGTCTTGGATGGTGGAGAATAGATAAATTTCAGTTGCATAAAATATGAATCATACCTTATACAGTTAGCTTAACTTTCATGTAAAAAGACCCTCTTCCTGAGTCAAAATGAGGAGGAGGATGGCAAAAGTGAAAAGAACCATGCCAGGAAAGCTGGAGTAGGCCCCTCTGACATGGGACCTAATCTTTGAGGGATGGGACTTGGTTTCCCTTTCTGTGGCACAGGACCCACCTGGACCTCTGAAGATGCCTTTGAGGGGTTGGGGGATGTCCAGGGTGAGAAGGGCCACTCTCTGGATGGCCGCCCCGGAAGCAGCTTTGTGCTTTCAGGGGCTGGAGGAGGCAGGTGGTGGGTGTGTCCTGCTCCAGTGTCTAGGTGGGAGTGTTTGTGGAGCCGACCAGACACCTGTGACTCGTACCTCCTAGGTGGCCCGAGGCAGCCGGGATGACAGCTCTCCCCAGGAACCCTGCTACCTGCTGAAAAACATGACCAGCAAGTCCCGTGAGTGTTGTCCAAGAGCTCTCTCACCCTGAAGGATGGGACCCCCCGAAGCAGTCTTCAGCATCATCCTGGGACCCCCTGGGGGTTACGGAGGGACAGACAGGGAGCCAGGGGCCCCTCTTTTCATCTTGAAGGACAGTGGAAATGCTCAGGTCCAAGCCCCATACTGGAAAGCTAGGGCCAGGTGAGGGCCAGGGACTGGGTCTGCTTGAGTTGGGGGTTGCAGGGGCCCAAAACGGGTCAGGTGAGAAGGTGGACTGGGGCTGTACCTGCCTGTTTCTGCCTCCAGCTCCTCTGTGCATGTGCCCTGTAGGCTGGAAGCTCCTGGCCATGTTGGCTCTGGTCCTGGTTGTCATGGTGTTATATTCCATCTCCCGAGAAGACAGGTACATTGAACTGTGAGTCCAACTTCCATGTCCTTCCATTGGTTCTTCTCAGGAACGGGGCTTAGGGATGGAGCGTCATCGGGTTGGGGACCTTATGGGGCAGGAGGGTTCAGAGAGCCCAGGGCATGACCTCTCCCTTCAACTACTAGCAGGAAATCCTTCCGTGAGGGTAAGTGGTGGCTTTGCAGGGTAGGGTCTGGGATGACTCCCCTGGGCCCTCACCCAGAAAGTTCAGGAAAAGGAACAGCTGGATCCTCAATGACTCGGTTTCAAAGTGGAACTTGGGTTGAGATGATTCCACCCTGCAAGTTGCTCTCCAGCACCCTGGGACCTGTGTGCCATGGGAGAAGGTGGAGGCCACCTGGGGTGCCCGCCCCTGGCCCCTGAGGTCTGATCACGGCTTATGCCTCCTCTCCTTTTCTGTCTCCAGTTTTTATTTTCCCATCCCGGAGAAGAAGGAGCCGTGCCTCCAGGGTGAGGTGGAGAGGAAGGCCTCTAAGCTCTTTGGCAAGTAAGTATGTGAGGCTGAAGGGGGTGGGGCAGGGCATGGGGTGAGCTGGGGTTGGGAGTTTCACAGGGTCGGGGCCCCAGCGCTGGCTAGATGGAGGGAACTGTATCGGTGGACATGGGTTAGGTGCAGTCAGTGAGGGAAGGAGAGGCCCTTGGACATGTATATATAATATTACATATATTATGTACCAGAACCAGGGGCCTGACCCTGGTTCTGTCATGAAGATTAATGCCTTTTTCATCTCCACCTTGCTTTCTCCTCTGTGCAGCTACTCCCGAGATCAGCCCATCTTCCTGCGGCTTAGGGATTATTTCTGGGTCAAGACACCATCTGCCTACGAGCTGCCCTATGGGACCAAGGGGAGTGGTAAGTACCCACCTGGTGCAGTGGGAACGGTGGGCTCACCTTGGCCATACTGCTTCTGTTCTTTGCCATCCACTGTCCCAGTGTCCAAGTTCTCAGCCAGGCTCAGATGCTGGGGTCAGGGAAGGACAAGGCAGCCAAGGCTTTGAGGATCAGTGGAGGGAGAGCTGGCAGCCTTTGGAATGCTAGCTGTTGTCATCAGCCCCTTCCAATCCGGTTCTTTTTGTAGAAGACCTGCTCCTCCGGGTTCTAGCCATCACCAGCTACTCCATTCCCGAGAGCATCCAGAGGTAAGGAGACACCCACTTGAGTCTGAGCACCTTCTCCTTCCTGCCCCAGTGTGTAACAGTCATGGTCTAGCATCTCCCAGTGAGCCTTCCTGCCTCTGGTCCCCTGTGGCCAATTTGACCCTTCTTTCTAGTCTGCCTGTCTCCAGGGGAGGCAAGTATGCCAATCCCCACAGCAACTGAGTCTGGGCATCCGGGTGCCAGAGCAGGCAGAGGCTGCTGAGGGTATCACTGTGGCAACAGACAGGCCTGGGCAGCCAGCGAGGGGGCTCTGAAAGGGGGTTTTTTAATTGGTACTCCCCAGGCATCGTCCCTCCTCTCCTCTTTTCCCACGCTCTGCTTAGTGTTCTCTCCCTTGAAAGCCCAGGGCTGCAGAGTTAACATGACCATAAGCAGGACTCTTGGAGATGCCTGGTCCATGGGGACCAGGGGCTGAGGGGGCCTGGGAAGGGATCCTGAGCTAGGCACCGGGGCAGACCTGGGTAGGGGAGTTAAGTGGAACAGCAGCAGGGCTTCCTTCTGGGTCTGATCGCCCTCTTCTCATGGCAGTCTCAAGTGCCGCCGCTGCGTGGTGGTGGGGAACGGGCACCGACTGCGCAATAGCTCGCTAGGAGATGCCATCAACAAGTACGATGTGGTCATCAGGTCTGTATGACCGTCCCTTCCCTCTTCTGTTTGGGAGCAACCATAGACGGGCCCAGTGGGGCTCTAGGTGATGGGCATCCTCCTCCCTGCCTCCCAGATTGAACAACGCCCCAGTGGCTGGCTATGAGGGTGACGTGGGCTCCAAGACCACCATGCGTCTCTTCTACCCTGAATCTGCCCACTTCAACCCCAAAGTGGAGAACAACCCAGACACACTCCTTGTGCTGGTAGCTTTCAAGGCGATGGACTTCCACTGGATTGAGACCATCCTGAGTGATAAGAAGCGGGTAAGTGGGGAGACTGGGAGTTGGGGGTGTCGAGGCCCAGGGATGGGGACACTGCCTGAGTCAGGACCTTCTGCTCCACGATGTCTGCCCTGCACTCCTAAAGAGCCGCTGAGGGACGGTGTGAACGCGGTGTTCTGCAGGGCTCCAGTGAGCCACCCCAGCAGCCAGGGCACGTGAGCCTGCAGGAGTCAGGCGGCAACAGCCAAGGGCACCCCAAACTCGAGACTGCCTGGGACAGAAAGCTGCCAAAATATGTTTGCCAGTGAGAAACTTGGGAGCAGAGGAACTGGTCAGTAGTCGTCTCCAGGCAGGAGGCAGGTTAGAACAGTCGAGACCTGTGTCCTTCCAGGCAGTCCCCAGAAAGTCTACTGTGTCTCTTTGCCATCCAGTCAAATGCTGAATTGTCCAGTCTGGTATTTTTGCCCAGTGTTTAGACAGCCCCAAACTCAAGCCCCTTCCATTTGTTTGGATATCCTTGGACGTGGGCAATGGTTAGACCCCTTATTCTACACACCGTGTCACCTGGCCTCCCTTCCTACCTTGAGGGCCTTTGGCATCACGTGGACCCCATCCCTGGCTAAGGACCACCAGGCTAGACTTGAGAAACAGGTCTTCACCCACTCTCATCTCTCCCTTCCAACTCCATCCCCCTAGGTGCGAAAGGGCTTCTGGAAACAGCCTCCCCTCATCTGGGACGTCAACCCCAAACAGATTCGGATTCTCAACCCCTTCTTCATGGAGATCACAGCTGACAGACTGCTGAGCCTACCAATGCAACAGCCACGCAAGATTAAGCAGGTAATGATGGGCTGCAGACAGGGAGGCCAGAGGGTTGGGGTCCTGGGTGGGAAGTAGGTGGGATGTTCCTAGAGGCTTAGGAAGCTATGGAGGAGCCCAGGAGAGGAGAAAATAGTAACCGAGACCGCAGCTTGCATTTGAATAACACCTGTTAAAGTCCGAGGACCACAGCCTCAGGTGCACACCTGTAATGGGAGTTCGGCTTATTAGCTGGCTGCAGCAAGGGATGGCGCACACATTTGGAACCATGTGGCATCTCCAGAGTGGGGAGTGAGGGAAGAGTGTTTATAGGGCTTGGGGGCTGGAGTTAGAGGATGGTTTTGGCAAACACGAGTCAGAATTGGTAAACTGGGGAGTTGCTGGGACAGTCAGTGGTCTTATCTTTAGAACAACTTGAGCCCGTGTGGTTACTGTTAGGTCACTTTGTGATCTTATCTTGGAACATATTGGTCTGAATGAGTCAAGAGTTTGAGCTAGCAGCTTGTCTTGCTTATCACAGTTTGGTATGGTGTGTCAATTTTGGGAGCCATGGTGCAGTTTTGCAAGTTATGGTTTTGGTTTCAGCTCTCAGTGCCCTAGTGGCCTTCAGCTGGTGGGCTTGAACACACTTCGTAGCTTTCTAAGTACTTCCACACGTGTCTCGAGCCCTCGGAGAGGCTGTGTGGGATAGTGGACAGAGGTAACTAGTAGACATAGATGGGACTGGGCTGTACCACTTACTGTGTGGCTTTGGGCAAATCAACCACTTGGAGCCTCAGTTTTCTTATCTGTATGGTGGGGATAATATTAGTACTGACCTTTTAAGGCCATTGTAGGATTTAAAAAGATAATTATGGGGGCCAGCCTGGTGGCGTGGCGCTTGGGTTCGTGTGCTCTGCTTTGGCGGCCCAGGGTTTGCAGGTTCAGATCCCGAGCGCACACTGACGCACCGCTTCAGGCCATGCTGTGGCGGCATTGCATATGCAGAGTAGAGGAAGACTGGTACAGATGTTAGCTCAGGGACAATCTTCCTCAAGCAGAAAGTGGAAGATTGGCAACAGATGTTAGCTCAAGGCCACTCTTCCTCACCAAAAAAAAAAAAAAAAAAGATAATTATGTAACAAGCCTAGCATGGAGATTGGTACATAGTGCATGCTCAATAAATATTTGCCAAATTTTGAATAAATGATTTTATTCTTTACTGAATATCTACTATGATTCAACTTCATAAGTTGAATACCTGCTGTTATGACAGCTCTGTGCCAGGCCCTAGGTTTGCATGCTTGGAGAGTAGGACATACTCCTTGCCCTAAGGAAACTTGGTCTAGCAGAATAAACATACAGGTTGCAGCATGTATGTGGCAGAATGCCCCAATAGAGAGTGTTCCAAGTGCTGTAGAATCTCGGAGGAGGGGCAGACCTCTGTTTGGGGCCGTCGGGGAGGTCCCCCAGAGGACGTGATATTGGAGGTGGGCCTTGAGGGGTCATGGGGCCCATCAGGCAGAGAACTGGGGAAAGGTCTTTCATTTGGCAAGACCAAACAGCTCCCCCTGGCACTGAGTTCTAGTGCAGGTGGAATTGAGGGGGAAGCAAGGAGGTGTTTTATGCCCCTGATGAGGGTGAGGCATAGGGTGAAGGCTGGAAAGGAAGACAAGAGAAGGTAAGGACCAGAATCAGCCCCTTGGTGATTGGAAGGGAAACGGAAGAGAAGGTCTTGGTATCTGTATTCGTTTCCTGTCACTGCCTAACAAATTACCACAGTTTGGTGGCTTAAAATAACACCCATGTTTCAGCTCATAGTTCTGTAGGTCAGAAATCCAGCACGGGGTGGCTGAGTTCTCTGCATAGGGTATACAAGGTTGAAATCAAGTTGGCAGCTGGACTGAATTCTTGTCTGGAGGCTTGGAGGGGATAATTTGCTTCTAAGCTCATTCTTGTTGTTGAAGGAATTCAGTTCCTTGTGGTTGCAGGACCAAGGCCCCATTTTCTTGCTGGCTTTCCGCCTGGGAGTGTGGGCACTCTCAGCTCTTAGAGGCTGTCTACATTCCTTGCCATATGGCCCCCTTGTTCTTTAGGCCAGCAATGGCATGATAAATCCTTCTTGTGCTTCACATCTCTGACTTCTTTCATTTCTTTTTTTTTTTTTTGTGAGGAAGACCAGCCCTGAGCTAACGTCCATGCCAATCCTCCTCTTTTTTTGTTGAGGAAGACTGGCCCTGGGCTAACATCTGTGCCCATCTTCCTGTACTTTATATGGGATGCCGCCACAGCATGGCCTGAAGTGGTGCGTCAGCGTGCGCCCAGGATCCGAACCTGCAAACCCCAGGCCGCCCCAGCGGAGCGCGCGCACTTCACTGCTTGCGCCACCAGCCAGCCCCATGACTTCCTCCATTTCTGATCTCTAGACCCAGATGTAAAAAAGCTCATGTCATTAGGTCAAGCCCACCAGGATTATCTCCCTATCTTATGGTCAACTGTCCCTATAAAGCAATATAACATAATGTAATATATCTCATAATAGTCCTAGGTTCCACACACACGCAAGGGCGAGGGTCATTGGGGGTCATCTTAGAAAACTGCTACAACATTTATTTTACAGGTGAAATTGGCAGATTTATGACAATTCTAGGTTTCTAGCTTGGACAACTGGGTAGATGGTAAAATGTTTAACTAATACAATGGAATACAGGGAGACAGGAGAGTTTGGTGAGTTTAAGGAGCCCGTGTCCAGGCAGAGCTGGCTAGAAGGTGAGGGAAATGTGGTTCAGTAGAGGACAGAACTGGATGAGGTGATGCAGAGGGAGTAAAAACAACAGGGATGAAACAGAAGGCCCAGGCAGGAAGTGGCAGATGAAACGATAGAGAGCTCAGAAAGGATGCTGGGAAAACCCATCGTTCAGAGGCCTGCCAAGGTCCAGGGCGTGGCTGCTACAGGGAAGTGGGCAGCTGAGGTGGTCTGGAAGGCAGGTTGTCAGAACTGAGGAAGGCGAGATTTATGAGGTTAAGAATATCACCTTGCCCATGCCTGTGGATGAATTAGGGATGGAGAAGGGAGGTCCTCATGGCAGTTCATAAGGTAGGGAGGAAAAGCATGGTGTCCCCACTTTACAGAAGGGGAGCGCCCACCCTCATAGCGGGGCACACAGCCCGTGAGTGTGAGAGCCCCAGGTCTTCTGAAAGAGGGGAGGTTTTCCAAGGTGGAGAACAGAAATTTTCCATTCCTTGAGTGAATTGCTTAACACTCGTAAGCCTCAGTTTCCCCATCTGTAAAATGGGGCTAATAATAGTATCTACCTCAAAGTGTTTTTATGAGGACTGGATGAGATAATGTAGTGTCTGGCACATAGTATGTGCAAAAAGTGATAGATATTATTATCATTATTATTATTGTCATCCTGATTGCCAGCATCATCCCTAGAGGCCCAAACCCTTCCCCCAGATGTGTTGAGCTGGACTATCCAGTATGGTAGCCATGAGCCACATGTGGCTATTTAAACTTAATTAGTTAAAATTAAATAAAATAAAAAATGCAGTTCCTCAGCTGCACTAGCCCCATTCATGTGCTCAGTAGCCACGTGCTACTGGCAGCCGTGCAGGACCGCACAGGTGAAGAACAGTTCCATGGTAACAGGAAGTTGTGTTGCAGAGCGCTGGCCTGGAAGATGGGTAAAGGAGCAGGGCTCCCTCTAAAACCTTCCCCACCCCTTGTCACTCAGAAGCCCACCACAGGCCTGTTGGCCATCACTCTGGCCCTCCACCTCTGTGACTTGGTGCATATCGCTGGCTTTGGCTACCCAGACACCCACAATAAGAAGCAGACCATTCACTACTATGAGCAGATCACGCTCAAGTCCATGGCGGTAAGCAGCCCCTGCTTGCAAGCTGGGTGGGGTGGACTGGCCTGGGGACACTGGTTGAGTGAGTGGTGCCAGGGGCCCAGAGGTGGCTCACGGTGAGGTCACTCAGCGAGTCAGAACTGGAACTGAAGCATCGACTCCCAGGCTAGCATCCTCTGTATTCGGCCAGGTTCTGTCTTCCTTCCCAGAGCCAGCACAGGGAAGGGAGCTCCCAGAAGCGTGGGGTTGTGGGGAGGGCCAGGGAGGCCCCTCGGAGTCCCTCAGTTTGCTTCCTTGGCTGTCTCCACAGGGGTCAGGCCACAACGTCTCCCAAGAGGCCCTGGCCATCAAGCGGATGCTGGAAATCGGAGCAGTCAAGAACCTCACCTCCTTCTGACTCAGACTGCGGCTGTCCCCATTGGTCTGCCCACTCTGCTGCCTGAGTGACTCCCATGCGTGGCTGCGGGGGTGCCCCGGGGCCAGCATGACCAGTTTGGACTCCCCCTGCGCTCTGTGGGGAGGGGTCCCAGGTCTGGCCAGGTCTAAGATGAGGCCATGCCCCTGGCTGCTCTTGTGGAGGCCAGATCCAGTGGGGGGAGGCCTTGGGCGGCAGGAGCCCCCCTCTCCACCAGCACCAGGAGGTTATTTAATGGGCTATTTAATTAAGGGGTAGGAAAGTGCTGTGGGCTGGTCCCACGGCATCCAGAAAAGGGGCATAATACAGTGTTCTGCCCACTTTTTATAAAAACAAAAGTTCTGGGCCCTCTAAGGCCTAGACCCAGAGCGGGCCTCCCAGGAGGGCCAGGGTGTCTGGAGGGGGTGGGCACCCTCCAGAGAGGGGCTGCTACCTCCCAGCAGGCATGGGAAGAGCAGTGGTATGGGGTCCAGGGAGAAGGGGACCTCTGCTAGAAAAGAGGTTTCAAACCTATCATTAAAGTATTTTTCCTAAAACGGAAGCAGTTGTGAAACCCCATGTCCTTTCAGGTTGGGGAGGACTTGGGTGGGCAGGGGCCCCCTCTCCCAGCAGTGGACAGGCTTGGTAAAGACCAGAGGTGTCTCTGGGTCCTAGGGGACCGAGAGCAGGCCCTAGTCATTCAGGGAATAATTATTTCTTGAGTACAGTGCTTGGTGCCAGGTCATGCATTCTCACCCTGGCGTAGCAGGCAAGCAAGTGGTGGCCAGAGCAGCCCTATCTTCCAGACCCTCAGCCTGGCATCTTGCATCCCCGTTTACTTCCCAGAAGTAGGGAGGGGCAGGAGGATGCCAGATGGGAGTGGCAGAACCCTTTCCCGCCTCCCTTCCTCTCCCTTGCCAGCCTTTAATTTCTAAAACCTCATGCTGGGAGGTGTGTGTTTTAGGACAGGGGTGGAGTCAGACAAAGGAAGCCAAGTTTCCCTTCTCTGATTAAGTGGGAATCATAAAATGGAGTTTACAGAAGGTCCTGCCAGTGGCCCAGGCTGCCAGGATTGGGATGGGCAAGGCTCGGGCAGCGTCTAAGGGATTTGGCAAGGCCTGTCAGCCAGTCACTGGGCCTGGGGCCGAAATGCTTTTTTCCCCAGGTCTCTAGAATTGCAATAGCCTGCCATTTGTCTGTCTCTTACCCGCTTTGTTCTCCATCTTCCCAGGCCCCACTTAGCCGCCAACTGGGCTTCCTGCCACCTTCACAGCTGTTCCTTTACATCTGGAGCCGGGAGGGAGAGCTGGAACTCCCCCGTAGGGAATAGGACTCGCAGCTGAGTTCCTGGCTTTCTCGGAAAGAGTTGCAGCCTTGAGGTTTTGAGACAGCTAGGCTGGAACAGGACAGATAAAGAGGGGCAGAGATTTGGGAGGAACAGAGGAAGATGACAGGCTTCTGGACAGAGTGTTAGAGTGGCCTTGAGAAGACTGTCTCATCCCCCAGAACAGTCAGTCCTGAGGACCATCGCAGATGTTGGACTTGCCTGCTCTGTTGGAAGCCTGGCAGAACTGCTTTGCTAGCTGCTCTCCTCCCAGGGGTGAGGGGGATTCTCAAAGCAAATAGGGCCCCAGCATCTGCAACCCCAAACCCCCACTCCTCCACATGGGCAAACTCTGTCTCCCAGGCTTTGTCCTGGGTGGGGGGCGTGGGCGGACCTTGCTGACTCAAGAAGGGTGTGAGTGTGGGGGGATCTCAGCTCTGCTTCTCCCTGACGCTGCTGCTCCTAAGGGTATGCAAGGGAGTGTCCATTTCCCCGTCCACGGCCATTGAAAGTGACTGTCGGCATGTATGATCCAGCTGTCCTGGACCTGGGCTGTTACTGGACACGCGGAAACTTGAGCCAGAATCCAGCACACACGGATGGGTCAGTCTCCCCCCAACACCCCCAAACGTGTGTAGACACGGGAGCATCTCACATTCTGGTTGGGTTTTTCCTGTGATGCCATATGCAGACAGTCCTTCGTGATCACATACGGACAAGAGCGTGTTTAGGAAGGGGTTGTATATGCCCCAGCAGTCCATTGTTCCCCCGGGGGCCTGGGCTCAGCCTTCTCCAGGGCGCCCCGCCCCTAGGCAGGTTGAGGCCGTACTGGCCAAGAGTCTGGCTGAGAGTGGAGCTTTGATGTGGAATTGTTGGACGGGGTTCTCTGGTGTCTGAGAAAGGGCTTTTCATTCTCCACTTAGCCCAACCAGTGTGAAGTGACTGCCTGCCAGCCTGCCTGGTACTGCTTAAACCGTGCCCTAGAAAGGAGGCAGGAGGGGAAGGAGGGTACAGTAGGTGCAAATCAACAAATCCGGGTTCTACACCAGGCTCTGCCACTTAATTCTGTACGACCTTGGCCTAATCATTTCTCCACGTCTCTGATCCACTTCCTACATTTCTTAAACCAGGAAGGTGGGTCAAGCCTATGAGGACCACTTATGTCAGCATTATCTGAGGGGGATTTAAGAATGGCGATTCTTGGGTCTTACACATGGGGGTCGCTGGGGATGAGGCTCAGGAATCTGGAATTTTAACAAGCAGCCAGAAGCACTGCTCTAGTAGTCTAGGCTCCAGGATGATCTCACGGGCCTCTTAACTCTACGGTCCGCGTGCAAAGCCCATCCTAATCCCGCGTGCCCTTGAGCTCTGTTAATTGGGCGCTCGCGCGTTTTCTCGCGGCGGCGGGCCGCGAGGAGCCGCTGTGCTCAGCTCGCCCCGCCTCCCGGCGGCGCG